TTCACTGCACAGCCTACGAAAGACATGATCACTTGCTGTTCATGAAGCACATGGCTTGGGAATGGGTGTGGTGTAATAGTGAAGAGTGTGAGCAGTGAAGTTCCTTGTTCATATTTCACTCTCAGCTGCAGAACGTGTATGTGGTCTTAGGCTGACCATTATTCTCTGAGGCTCAGCCCTGCCAGATACAGTACAGAGCTAATTCTGGGCTCCTTTGAAAGGAAGGGTGGGATATAAGTTCAATAATATGAAATAAATAAATACCTTCCTGTAGTGTTGCAAGGATTGTTAGGATAAAATACATCTACCTAAATGCTAAGAATTAATTGAAGATGGTGATAGAATTGCTCTCACAGGATTGTCACACCACCCCAGCTCCTCAGATGAAAGTGTTTTGTCTTGTAAAACGGTGTTGTCCACTGTGATTCTTAAGTCTTTCCTTTGTGTTCTCTTTAAACTACTCCCAAAGACCTTGGGAGGGCAGCCACCCTCTTAGACCGGATTAATTGCCATAATGTGGTTTCCTCATAGGTTCCAGCTCCCATCAGGACAATGACCATATCTTCCAAAAGGGTGAGTATATGTAAATGAAGGTTGAAGTATGTCTCTCTTATTGGGCTAGATACTAGGCCAGACATAGCCATGGCTCAGGAAACAAAAGAGTATTCTCTGACTGCTTGTCACTGGTACCATCTTTGCAGAACATGGAGCAATGTGGAGTTCCTTCCATTCTAGTCGTTCTCCCATTTCCCTTGAGTATCTGCTGCTAGAAGGAGCTCACTCTAGAGGCTGGGAGGTGGGTTGGAATGCAGAGCTGTTCTGAATGGTTGCACTTGGGAGGCTTTTCTGTCCACACTTCCTCAAGAAATCATATCCCTCACTCCATTCCCACCTCCAGTACACTGTGGGGGCAGAATTACCTATCCTCTCATTGACATCTGGTTGTTACTCTTACCCAACAGCAACAGCTGTATGTGTCCTCAGCCATTGGCCTAACACACCTGGCTCTTCACCGCTGTGATGTGTATGGAGAAGCCTGCGCTGACTGCTGCCTGGCCAGGGACCCCTATTGTGCCTGGGATGGGAAGTCCTGCTCTCGCTATTCTGCTTCCTCCAAGAGGTATTGTGTGGCAGAGAGGATGGAAGGGACTGGAGTTCCACTGTTGTTTGTTGGGAATGCCCTGTAAAGGGACTTTAAAGAATGACTGTGGGGTCATTGTTCAAAGCAGGTTATTTTCAAGAGTTCTGGGAGTGCCTTGGAGTTAACATTACAGGAAATATTCTAGGAAACTAGTTCTATTGATATAAAGTGGAATTCAGGGGTGGGCTAGGGAAGGTTTACATCATACAGTGTCCTAGGAGAAATGCAGGAAAAAGTTCTGTTGAATGAATTCTAGGCAGTGCATCTGGGTAATGCTAAAGAGTATGATTGTTCCAAAACATGAAATGGATCTTGGGCAGGAATTTGAATCTTCCATAGTTGGCTCAGAATTAATCTAGGATTCACTGGTCAAGGGCTGACCAGAAAGACAAAAGGATTATGAATGGCTCATCATCTTGCTCCTTGGAAGGACCAAAATTCCAACTACTCACCTGGCTGCCTCTTTCCTTATCACAGGCGGAGCAGGCGTCAGGATGTCCGGCATGGCAACCCCATCCGTCAGTGTAGAGGCTACAATTCTAATGGTGAGTGTCATACTCACCCGCTGCATGGGGGGGATCAGAAGTAGCGTTCTCCTTGGTCTCGTGGTCCCTACTCACCTCTCTGCCCCCACAAAAAAAGTGTAGTGAGGGTGTTGAGATGGAAGGTCTGCTTTAAAAAAAACTGGCTGCCCTTCACACCATGATTTTTGATCAGCAGAGTAGGTGAACAAACTGGTACTTTTAAGTACACAATGTGGTGCAGAATATGGACTTCCTTGGCACATAAAGTAGAGTAGCCATGGATCGGATGGAATAGTAGGGGCCATTTTTTCACTGGATAGGTGGGTGGGTGTCCCTGGGCAAATGAAGTGGCATGATTGAAGAATTGGGATCAGTACTATTGTACCTCTTTGTTATCATAGAATTGTAGAGCTGGAAGGGACCCCAATGGTCATCTGGTCCAACCCCTGCAATGCAGGAATCTCAACTAAAGCATCCATGACAGATGGCCATCCATCCTCTGCTTGGAAACCTCCAAGGAAGGAGAGTCCACAAGGGAGACTGTTCCACTTTAGTTCATTTCTTACATAAGTCATCCAACTCAGTCACATACCTCAATCACATGGTCAGGCTGCACCCAGAACTGGAACCTGAATGGTCCACATGCTGAATGATGGATGGCAGATTAGCCAAGTGTGGCTATATAAACTTGGCAGTAATGAGACTAGCCTCCTTCTGGCAAAGGAGTAGGAGCTTCTTGGAATATATTTCGTCAGGGAATGTATTAGTTGAAATGTGACCCTTGGCAAATCATAATCTTGTATCTATGTATCCACCTCCAGCCAGCAAGAACACTGTAGAGGCTGTTCAGTATGGAGTGGAGGGAAGCACAGCCTTTCTGGAGTGCCAGCCTCGCTCCCCTCAGGCCACCATCAAATGGCTGCTTCAGAAGGACAACAGTGACCGAAGGAAAGAGGTACAAACAGGCAGTCCTGAATTTCCAGAATGGAATTTGGAGGAAAAGGAGGGAATGGAGGCCAGAGGGAAGTTAGCATGAAAGTTAGTGGCTTAGCAAGGAGGAGTAACTTGCCTTTTGCTTCTACCGTAAGTTTTAATAAGTACTAAGACTATCTCTATTTTTCAAGTGGGATTCAGTCAAAAACTGACAGCTTCAGGTAGCACAATTAGAATCAATTTGGTACTTGTGCACATCAAACCTGCTTGCAAAAAGCACACAGACCTTTTGCAGTAAGGAAAGTGGCGTGAAAATAGACTGGAAAATGTGGGATAACAATTGCTTGATGAAACTTATATAAGCTCCTTGCAAACAAATCAGAATGAATGTTCAAATAAGCTGCAGACAATGCACAAAGAAATCAGGATGAATCCTCAATAAGCAGGTCATCTGGAAGTGACAGAGAGTTGAGCTGGCCAATCTTTTGTTCTATTTTCATCATGTTAAAAAGCACTTGTTTCTCGGTCCGCTTTCAGCCACCTTGCTGACATTTCATCTATTTTTCATCCACATCCTGGATACTAGAAGGATCTCTGTGCAGAAGCTCACAAAATAGGTTTTTTAAAGCTCTGAGGAACTGTGGCGCCTGAGCAAGGCCACTGGAAACAGCCCAGGGAAACACCCATGCCTGTGCTATCTCTGAGCTTATATGACCAAGCTCTTGAAAGCTCCCTGACCCATTTGAGCTAAAGCTAGAGTTTGCTGATTTACTTTCTGTAAGCCCTTCCTACTCAGCCCATCTGATTGGTAGCAGCCCCAAACCTGCTTCTATTCAGCCAATAGTTCCATCTGAGCTCCTGAGAAAAAGGATGGGAAGCTGGATCGTTCATCATGCTTTGCTGTTTGCCAGGACTCAGAAGTCTAGGAATTGCAGAACAGGAAATAATGAGCACTAAGAAGCTAGGAGGATGAGGGCCAGAAAGCACTCAGGCAATGAATATGCGGCTTGTTTTCCACCCACAGTGTGATCTAATGTATCTCTGCCCAGCAACTCCCAACTGTGCTAACAATGCCTCCTCGATGTGTTTCTTTCCATTAGCTGCGCACTGAAGGAAGGGTGCTGAGGACAGAGCAGGGGCTGCTGTTGCGGTCCTTGCAGCTCTCGGATGGGGGCCTCTATTCCTGCACAGCCACAGAGAACAACTTCAAGCACACGGTGGCCAAAGTGCAGCTGCATGTACTGAGCAGTGAAACGGTCCATGCTGTGCTCTTCCAGTCAGAGGCCCCTGCCCCTTCTGCAGCAGCCATGCGAGCCGGCCTGCCAGGCACTTTCAGCTCCCATTACCATGACCTGGTGCAGCTGCTCACCCAGCCTGAGATGGGACTCATCAACCAGTACTGCCAGGGCTATTGGCGGCACGTGGCCTCCAACCATAAGGAGACTCTGGCTGGTCTCAAAGCCAAGGAGCTGCATGATCAGAAAAAGCCTCGAAACCGCAGGAACCACCAGCCAGAGATGGATCAGCACACATGAAACTTGACAAGGGACTATGAAATGACAGTGCTATATTTCCCCCCTCCATTTTAATATTAAAATATCTATAAATATATATATAAATATATATACACACACACACAAAACACGCCCTGCTCCCCCTCAAGACAATATTTATTTGTAGGTTGTACATAATATGTGGGTGATGCAGTCTCACCTCAGTGTGTGACAGCAAGGAGTTTGGAGGCGTCCCGCTGGCAGCTTGCTCTTCCTTTCCCCTTTTATCTGCGGTACTGTAAAATAGCTGACACTCTGGAGGATCTCAGTGGGACACGGCAGTCTTGTGTGGAATCTGTGGGTCCAGAATGTTGGAGCAGAAGCCTTCAAGACTGGATCATCATGGGCAAGTCTGGGAATGTTGTGCTACTGTCACTGAAAACATTTCTACCTGGTTAAAAAGGAGAGGAAAATGTCTGTTGTCAGACACTAAGCATACCTACCCTGAAGCGTATAAAAGCCTCTGCTGCACCTACAAAGACTTGAGCACTTTCTTCTCCTCTTGACATTTCTCTGCCTCAAAGCATATTCTGGCAGGACACTCTTGCGTGTAAAGTACAATGGAAGCTTCATGTCTTGAGGAGCCTGAATCATTTAAGGCAGGAGGGAGTGCTTCACCGAGGGATGTCCATGCATGGTTCCATGCAGTGCTCCTACTGCTTTCAGAAGCAAGTTAACCCCACCAATAGGAACAATGTTATGATTTGATAATGATTCAGCTTGTGCTGTTTGGCTGATGATCTGCAAGAGATATTGTCTGTGAAAGTTGTGGTACAACCAAAAGAGCTGTTGGGAAGGTGGATATAGCTATTCTCATAGGCACCTAGCTTTTCTGAGCTAGTTTCCTTGATGGATGTGAAGGCCTCATCCAAGTGGGCTATGCCAGGGAGACGTAATGTATATATGAACCAAAGCTACTCTCCCATAGTGCATGTGTCAGAGACTTCCAAGGCCAAAGACAGCATGGGATTGGAGGTGGCAGAGAGGGTTAGGCATCAGCAGGATAGCCATCAGGACACCGGGCTTCTACTCAGCTGGCCAGTGCAGCAATCGGCATCCAACCTGGTTATTTATTATTATTTAAATAATATTAATTTGCCCACTAGGAATTCAGTTCCTCAGTGTGATAACACCAGTCTACCCAGCTACACAATGTGGAAGTTGGAAAGTCTGGTCCTGAGTATTCCCATCAGGATTCCTGTGGAATTGCCATCAGTCCACATGAGCAACTTCGATGCGCTGCAGGTTGGGTGGAGCATCCTTTGCAAAAAGAGAGAAACGTCAAACTAAGAGTGATCTTTCTGCTTAATTTCAGGATGGATTCCACATATCATGGGCTAAGTAAGGACTAGTAAACATTCAGTGCATGCAGTATCCCCCATGACAGAGATCATCACCTACCTACCTCCCACCATTTTGTTCTGAGATAGACAATGGTGAGCATAGAACAGCAGTAGTAACAACACTGCTCAAAAATGAAGTCAAGAAGGCAATTGTATTACTAAGATGGGCTTCAGGATTTATGGGTGTAATTGGGAATATGACCAATAATTGTTCTAGGAATTAATCCCATGTAAAAAATAAATAAATACAGAGGGAGAGGTTGAGTCTTCCATCAGGGCAAGATTTTCTGCGTGTGAAATGAAGCATTCTCTCCCTCTCGCTCCCCCTCCCCTAAATCTGTTCTAGGAACTCCCCCAGCCCTCTGGAACAGATTTGAGGAAGGCATGGGGCAGACACAGGGGAAGGAGAAGAGGGAAAGTCCTGTTGCATACACAGAAATCCTTGTGGGGATAGGATACGGTAGTTGAATACCAACCAGAGCCAGGGGACAATGAGAGAACTGAGAACCACAGGAGAAAAAATTGAATCCACAGGAGGGGTGCGGGCAGGGCAGAGTTCTGTGCATAGATATTATAATTTGGGCACCTTGGGAATTGATTAATATGATCTGGCATACAGAGAGGATGATTATGATAAAACATATAATCGGGTCTTAACCTGAGCCAGACTTGGTCAACCCATGAACCTATTTTGAAAGCCAGTAATATGAAAGGGTAGAACAGAGTATCTCTGAGCATGGGCAGAATGCATGTTCCTAACCACTGAGTATCTATGCCAAGAATTGGAGAGGGCTCCTGGGTCAAAGGGTGACTGAGAAAGGCTTGAGCCCACCTCAGCTTGTCTGGTAATAACAAAATCTATTGAATGACCTTTTTCTGCCTCCCCCTTCATTTTTTTTAAAGACATTGGCATTTCCTAAACGTGTGACTGTGCCTTCCACCTTAGGTTTTACTGTTGCAGAGGGTTTAGTTCTCTTGTTTCTTGGGTGCCTCTTTCAGACTGGTGTGGTTATGGCTTTTAGGTTCAGTGCCTCCAAAGAATTGGAATAAAATTCTGAGTTTGGCTTAATCCACATCACTAATGCCTGTGGAATTATACCGATTTATATCTGCTAGATATCAGCACTTGGATCTCCCATTGTAGTGAGCTGTTCGCTGATGCAAGGAACAGGTCTGCTCTGCCACAGGGATTGCAGTCATGGAGGGTAGCAAAGAACATGCCCAAGACATATTGGCAAAGAACATGCCCAAGACTGTTGCGTCACTCTACATGTGTAGCCTAGGTGTGCTAGGATGGAAAGTAGGTTATTTCTTGGACTTCTCCCTTCTGTCTGCAGAGTAGAGGACAGTCTCAATGGAGTAGACCAGAAGCCTGCACTGTGTTTCCTTTGGTCTCTGGTGCTGTACCTCCTGCTGTTAACAAAGAGAGCTCACCATTCACCTGAGCCTAAGCACACTTCATTTGTACACACAAAATCCTTGCAGGCACACCCCCTTTCCCTTGCAATCTGAGTGATGCGCGTGTACTTTCTCTTGTAAATAGTTGTAAATCAAAAATGTAACAAAAACTGGGGATCTGGAGATTTTGATTAGTAGCTCCTTGTGATGAATTCAAGCACAGAGCCATTTCGCACCTGTAATGTGAAATTCCTGTGGATAGAACAAGCTAATAAACACTGGCTTTGTTTTTGAAAACTCAAAGACTCCTTCAACTTGACTCACACTCTTCAGGATGCCCTCATTTCCCTCCTGAAGTGATGGACTCTTTTTTACATTCCACTGGTTCAGCTTCAGATTGCAACCGCTTCTATGGATTGCTCACTGTATTTATTCCAATACAGAAGTGGCATAAAAATAACACATACTTTCCCCATCTCCATATCCCAGTGCCCACCAATCTGGAATTGTGCTGGAAGCAACACCCATATGCCACTCACAGTTGGAGGCAGCCAGTTTTCACAGATCGAGCTGGGATATCTTCACCTCATCATGACCCCAACATGCCAGAAGTGGAAAGAACTAGGCAGCACCCAAGTCCTGAGCAAGAGTGTTTGTGTGTCTTGAGTCCTGAGGCAGAGAAGAGTTAGCAATATACAGTACTCAAGGTCCTCTTTGTGTTCTGAAGTCGGGTTGCTTTGAACACGGCACCCTCTTTGTGTGTCTATTTCCCATCACCACAGTTTTTCATTGGGAACTTGATAAGTGTGCATGACCTACTCAAAATATTACTAAAATTGGCAGTAGCAAAAAGAAAACATTTAACTTTTACATATCTGGATTGGCCTGCACAAACAAAAATATTTAAAGCAGGTGCAGAAAAGGATATTGCAAAGGCGCTTGATTGATGTCAGTAGACAGGGAGCTCCAAAGTGTAGTGACTCACTAAAAGATTGATTCTCCTATTATAGGTGCCCTACCAGTAGATCTTTCTCTGTGGGCTTCTATAAAGGTGGTGGTGTGCTGTGACTAGAGCGCTAGGTTAACACCATATCCTCGGCTCTTTTGCAGGATTTTCCCATTGCCGTGGCGATAATAGTGCACAGTTGGGCCATCCCTATGTGCCATGGTCTCCACCACTATTGCACTTCCCCCAGCCTGACAAACATCTTGGTGGAGCCTGGTTGTGATTTGTAGGCCAGCATGCAGAGGCCACCGTCTGTGCATGTCATTGTTCCTGTGTAAATCAGTGTCTGACCATAAACAGCTGGAAGCTGCCCAGATCAGTGCTAAAATTCAGCATGCAGGGGTGGCAGGAAGGGCAGGCTTTAGGAAAATCTAGCAGGGGACAGTGCTTTTTAAAAAAAGAAACCAGTGTTATCTGGTATGGCGTACCATGACTTATTTATGTGTCTTGGCATGGTAGCCATTTAGTGTTGGCACCCAAGACACTTTTATCAAGATAGGAATAATGGGACCTTTTAGCCAAAAAAAGGGGGGAAAACACATGGGGGATATGGAACATGGTGGCAGGAGAAATATGGGAGACACACAATGGCCACATGCATCCCACATATGCCTTAGGGGAAGCTATAATGACGGGGGTATAGACACTGCATGTCAAGTTATCCACAGCTTGTTCCCTGTTAATTTACAGAACCATAGATCCCCCTGCTTATGAAGCAACCAGGTAAATTATTTTCTGCTGCTCCTGTTTTATGAGCAGTCGGGTCAGGAGGGGAGAAAGGGGGCAGGTGTTGGATTCCTTAGACCTGGCAGTGCCCCTCCTTGTCCTGCAGCCCACAAACAAAGGCCCCTTGTTCTGCTGGCTTCATAAAAGAGAGAGAAATCTACCTCTCCAAGGGCGTGCTAAGGCAGCCGGTTAAGCAAACACACAGGGAAATGGGGATCAGGGTCATGGTCTCATTTCCTGTCCCCCTAGGCTGAGGAAGTTGCTAAGGGGTGGGTGGGTGGAGTGGTGTCCACTAAAACAAGGATGACACAGGTCCTGAACTGCTGGCCCTGGGCTTGTTCTTCCTCAAGCCTGAAGAGGGTCTCCCCGGGGCCTTAGCAGTCTTTTATCACCTCAAGTTTTTTTCTTGGATACTGATACCTCAGAACTGAACCCTAAAAAGGGTAACTGAGGGGGACATGTTTGAGAGAAAGAGTTATAATGCTCAAGGATAAGTGAATGGTTTCTTGGGGCTGCTTAGGGATAATCTGCTTCACACTCAAATTCTGTCAGCTGGCTAAACTTCACGACAGATTTTGAACTGGTAGTAGTAGGTAGGTAGGCCAGACTGAAAAGGATGAGTTGTTTTCTCGGTGCTTTTAGGTTGACTGCTTTTGGTATATGTCTTGTGTGCTTTTGTTATTTGAAGAACTTGCCCCAGATAAGAAATTTACCTCAGAATCCCCCCTTGAGTTCCAGGTTGTTCCTTTTTTAAAGAGGGAATAATTTTTGCACTCACTGAACAGGCCAAAGGCTTTCTGTGGAAACCACCTTGAATGGTGTCTTCTCTCATGGCTAAGAATTGAAACCTTTAAAACACACAGAGAGAAAACCTACATAGGCTGAAAACAGCAGCTTCTTATGGAGTTGTTGCTATCTGGCATCAGAAAGGTAAGTCCTACAGAAAGGAAGCTAGGAAAGAAACCCTATTTGGGTATTCTTCTAACATGGATTTTCATGCAGATTCTCATATATTTCTGTATTTTCTTCATTTTTATGTATTATGGTGCTTCTAGCAATTTTATGCTTGCACGTACACACACGCACTCCAACTCCAACTCAGGCAGGCCAAAGGTCTGAAGTGGAGACCCTCTTATTGTGGAGGCTCCCCACATGATTTAGCACCCTGTGTTATTGGGGCTCTATGTAGTGTTGCTACCCATCCCTAGAAAAGTGTCCACTGTCCCATTTGGACTTCAAACAGGATACCTTTCTCCCCATATTCGAACTCCTCCTCCTCAAAACACTGGGCAGAGGGTGGGGATGAGAGGGGGAGTTTCAGATAGAGAGTTTTTTCATGGGCAGGGGGTGAAGAGCAAGAGAAGAGATTTGCAGAGACCTCATCCATCCATCCATCCATCTGTTGGAGAGCAGGGGAGATTGGGAAAGAGAGTTTTTGCGTGGACAGAGATTGGTGGATCAGAGAGCGTGAGTGGGGTTTTGTAAACAGTGTACCTTTGTACAGTAATGGATTGCTTTGAAGTCATTTATGCACCAGGTAAAGTAATTTTTAGGGCCCCCCCATTCTACCTGTATTTTGTCTGACCTGTCCTTTATTTTGCCTGACCAAAGGCGGCAACCCTAGCTCTAAGTCACTTGGGGACCCTCCACACACAAAGGAGGCTCCTGTCTTCAGATCTTTGCCTTGCTTTGAGTTGGAGGGTGATGAGGGGTGGGGTTCGAGGCAGAGGGCCCAAATAGAGTCACACAGCAAGAGGGGCTAAGGGGGCATTTTCTGACCAAATGTTGTGTGTGTGAGAGAGAGTGGGATAGCACTGCTGCACTAAAAACTAATGACAAGAGCAGAACTGCCTTGAATTTTATCCTCCTCAATGTTACTCTGGAAGGTAATCTCAAAGCAGATCCTTCCTATATAAATTGGCAGCATTTGACAGATCAACACTCTGACATAAGGCTCACTTTGGGAGCTGTGATGGCTGAAATAATAGTAAGCTAGCAATGGACAAGTCATTTTGCATAGTCTTGTGCAAGGAGCACATTTGTAGTAACGGTTCCCCCTCTAGTGGCAGAAAGTCACATTGTTACTTGAGGTTAAGGAAGAGAACATACTGTAAGTTTGTCCTGCCCTCAATACAGGTCTCTTGTCTCTGTCTCAACTGTGGGGACATGATGCAGACGACTTTTGTGGTTTCCAGAAGACATTTTATTATGATTGGGAAGGCAAATGAATTCAAAGCTCTCTGCACTGGTCATTTGCTAAATCTCTTCTGGAGAAGTCAACGTATGAGATACTGAATGCCTTTATGCTTGGGTTTCCTAAGCAGCAATATCTTGTGGGGATCCCAGTCAGCTGTTCCATCTCATTCAGTGTGTTCTAAAATCCATTTTCCAGCAGCTCCTCTCAATCAGACTGAAGCCAAATCCTGCTGGAACTGGTAAGATGATAGTGTTTGATCAGTTTCAGTGTTCATCTCCCCCAGCATCCCGTTTCCAACATGGGACAACCAGATGCTCTAGAAAGTCCACATGGAAGGCACAATGGCATCAGCCCCATCCCCTTGTTTGCCCCCAGAATCTGGCATTTAGAGATAAGTTTCACCTGTTATAAGATTAAACCACAGAGCCTAGGATTAAACCACAGAGCCTAGGACTAGGATTCGAACCCCCAACAGAAGTTTGGGGGTTCGAATCCCTGCGACGGGGTGAGCTCCCATTGCTTGGTCCCTGCTCCTGCCAACCTAGCAGTTCGAAAGCACGTCAAAGTGCAAGTAGATAAATAGGTACCGCCCCGGCGGGAAGGTAAACGGCGTTTCCATGCACTGCTCTGGTTCGCCAGACGCGGCTTAGTCATGCTGGCCACATGACCTGGAAGCTGTACACCGGCTCCCTAGGCCAATAAAGCGAGATGAGCGCCGCAACCCCAGAGTCGGCCACGACTGGACCTAATGGTCAGGGGTCCCTTTACCTTTCACCTGTTATCCTCACCCCCAAACAGGAGTGTTTTTGTTCAGGTTTCCTCCCTCCCTAATGGCCTCCTTCAGTATATTAATTTCTACTGCAACAAACTCAAGCAGGGTATTCTGCCCACTCCACCCACTGTGGTTTTCTGTATTTCTTTTCCAATTGACACTCAACATTCTGTACGTACTGAGCATGCTGAAAATGCATTGGGCATATTCTACTAATACCCACCTAGGAGGAATCTGGTTTGTTTTTTTGCATTTAAAAGCAAACGCACCTCTGACTTAGCATGAAATGAAGAAAAATAACTGTATGGAACTATTCAGGAGTCAGCAGGTGTCAAGGGTGCTCCTTAGCCAAAGGAATGCACACAGCAGATAGTGCTTTATTGTCAGAGCTGACACTTACAGTAGCTTCTTGGCTCTGAATACCACACAAACATGTTTAGTATCTAGGCAGCTTTTCCCAGGTCTGTGCTCTATGGAGCAGTTGCAGCAACAGAGAGCCACTTACTCTCCACTAGCTTATGTGTTTTCCCCCAGTGGGCTACGCACACACAGGCAGAGGCTGTGCCGGTGTGGAAGCTGCCTCTGCACTTCCCACGTCAATTCTCTCCTGGATCTGGGAGACAGTGGTGCAGGAGAGGGGGGGGCACCCGGAAGCACCCAGCCCTTCCCTTGCCTAGCCTGTCTATTTCTCCTCTACCCTCCAGCTCTGAAGTTTCCCCTACCTCCAACTCTTGCCTCCTGGCTAGAACAGTACCTTACAATTCACTGCCCATTCTCCAGAGTCAACTCCAGTCCCACTTCCCTCGGTGCACACTAGTCAGCATCCTGCCAGTCCCTGATATTGGGTGCTGTTTCTTCTGCAGATGTCTGTCCTTGTTTGGAAGATGGATCCCAAGCTCTGCTTTTTGGCAAAGGCATTCATCTTTTTTCACAAGAGTATTAGTAACTTATCTCAGGAACAAGGCAAGTTAGTATGTTTAAGTTTTCTTCCCGTATAACCAGTTTGTTTACTTAAATTCATATTATTTAAAGTTTTACATGTGCATTTTTAAAACATGGAAATAGCAGGTAAATAATACTAATAAAGATTCCTCAGCCTCAACAATGACCTTTTGTTTTATCCCTTAAAAACCTACTGATTTTTTACCCTTTGCTGCCAAGCTTCTGTAGGCGATAAAGAAGACATTGTTCTGTAGCAGTTAGTTGATGGTCTCTTATTTTTATTTTTAATGTGTTTTTATTGCATATAGACAGTCTAGTTGTAAACCACTTAAATATTTTTATGATCTAAATATTTTTTATAAATAAATAATCCTGCCCTACCCAACATCTATAACATATAGTTCAACCACATATACAGACTTCCAAGAGGGAATAAGCAAGTTCACAAGAGACAAAAGATGGGGGGAATGGAAGGAGGAAGAACAGAAGGAAAGGGAGCAGGGAAGGTGAGTTTTAATATTCCCTTGCAGATCTAGATCAAACAGTTCCAGGAACAATGGCTAAATAGATCTCACTTCTCAACAGTTAATCCTATTGCAAACACGATTAACCATTACTGTCCATTATAAACACATTCCATTACTATTTCCAGAGAGGTGGCCACATCGGTTTCTTGCAGCAGAAACAAGAAGAGTCTTTTGGCACCTTAAAGACTAATGAAAGTATTATGCCATAAGCTTTGGTGGACTTCATTAGATACATGAAGTGCTTTCCTGAATTGCAGGTACATCAGTATATATCTCTATGTGCATATCTACCTGCAGAAACTCACAAACTAAACAGTGCATTTAAAAGCCATGTTGGGGGGAATGGTTCTTTGAATTAGGCAGCACCAGGCACTCCCTGCAAGTATTCCACAAATAACTGGGTCGTAAAGGTAAAGGGACCCCTGACCATTAGGTCCAGTCGTGGCCGACTCTGGGGTTACGGCGCTCATCTCGCTTTACTGGCCAAGGGAGCCGGCATTCCGCTTCCAGGTCATGTGGCCAGCATGACTAAGCCGCTTCTGGCGAACCAAAGCAGCGCAGGAAACGCCATTTACCTTCCCATCAGAAGGCCAAATCTACTTGCACTTTGACGTGCTTTTGAACTGCTAGGTTGGCAGGAGCAGGGACCGAGCAACGGGAGCTCACCCCGTTGCGGGGATTCGAACTGCCGACCTTCTGATCGGCAAGTCGTAGGCTCTGTGGTTTAACCCACAGCACCACTCAGTATATATTCACAGGTCAATAGCGCTCACATTTTAGCAGAGCCGGTGTAAGAGAGCACTGCAATCGAATCTGTGAGATCTGGATGCTGTTCTTAGTCAAGAACTCATTGTATGTAGATAACGCTGTCCCTCACACTCATTTCTACTTCTGTAAATCACCAAAAAAAATCTAATTTGCAGGGTGCTTTTCATGAGAATTAAAGTGTCATATTTATTAATAGTTTGGGGGTGATGTTACAAGTAGTTTTTATTAGCCCATCTTGAGGTTGTGAGGGGTTTTTTTTAGGGAGTTGGAATGGCCCAACCAAGCTAACTGTCCTCTTTCAAGCTGTGATAAAATTTACTCAGAAGCTAGAGTGAGATGGAAGCAAAAGGGCCATTTGGAAACCAATCCACTGTAGCTTTCCCTATGCTACTATAGCAGGAGCAGTGAGGTGCGACTTGGAGGGAGGGGTCTGCTTTGACAGTGCTGATGCTTCCCTCCAGGTCAAGAGCAGATAGAAAGTGGAAACTGCTGAGTTTAGCATGCGGGGGGATTTGAGGGGCTTTATCTCAGGAATAGATTTGAGCAGCTGCTGAGCAAAGCAAGTCAGATTAAACTAAGAGGCAGGTCCTGTGGGTGTATTGCTCCAGGCCCTTATTCACCTGTTCCCACTTCACATTGGCCAATACTGAACATCTGACCCCCACCGGGTGGCAAAGTCCTCCCACCTGCAAGGCAGAAAGTGGCTGGTGCTGGAAAGGGGTGGGAGCAGCCATCAATACTGAAACATCTCAAGGGTGCAAGACTAGGAAGGTTCTGTGTGGAATATTGCTGGGCTGGACAGAAAGGCCAAACCACAGCAGGACGTGCTGGAGGTCCCACGGAGGCTTGTCGGGATCCTCTCTTGCTGAACGAAAAGGACAATGGGTGCAGGCGCCAGTGCAGAGGAAAAACACTCCCGTGAGCTGGAGAAGAAACTGAAGGAAGATGCTGAGAAGGATGCCAGGACAGTCAAGCTACTGCTTCTTGGTAAGTCCACCCCCACAGGCAGTCACTAAGGCTTTGCCCTTGTTGTGACTTCTCCCCCCTTGCTGACTCCCCTCCCAATACTCCCATTTCTTAGCACATCTTCTTAGCTGGTGCTGCAGATGTTGGTGGTGAATGCATCTGTACCTTTCCAACAGTGGCCATTTGGACCCTCAAATTCTGAGGAACCTGCCCAATGGCAGTGCTACAGAGCCACCAAGGCATTATTGCAACCGCTCCACCCCCCTTTTCCATCTCAGTGTGGGGCTTTGTCCAGTGGTATAGTGTCTGGTTCTTATGAGGCAAGGCAAGGCTGAGTCCAAACACAACACAGGGAAGGAGGTAGCAACACACACACACACTCACACTCCTGCCCTTAGCTGTGATGCCCTCATCATTGCGTGTACCTGCACTGCTTGTTTTCTGTGAAGCATTGCAGCTAAGCTGCCCATGGCCCAGATCATGTTATCTCTGCCATAAAGGTGAGCAGTGCTTAAAGCAATCTTAACCAAAGCCTTTGGGCCCAGGTAATCCTCCACAGCTCACTTGCTGCAGCACCAGCATAGATCCATGTTTGGAGGGAAGTTCATTATAAGGAAAGAAAGAAAAGACATGCCGTGTGAATTGGATCACTCACAGGGCCACCATGACCTCGCAGCCCAAGTCAGCAAAGCTATTACGACAGCCCTGCTGTCACCATACTTGGAATAGTTATCCCCCCCCCTCTACCATACCATGCTCTTCCCCTCCCTTCCCCAAACTTGGCATGTACCTGTCAAAGTTTGGAAAATCTAAAAGAGGTAGATGGGTAGGCTTGTCAACTGACCCCAAACCCCAGCCAGGACTGCTCTTGGGCATTTACTGGTAACTGCCCTTCAATCTGCAGTGATTGGCAATTGAAGATTTTCACAGCAGTGGGGTACCTGCTGTAAGTATCTGCACATTGAGAAGCTGTTAAAGGCACAGCTACAATGGCTGGTTGGAAACTGGCAGCCCTAGATGATTCAAGGCCTCTCCCTGCCTCTGGTTGTTTAATGTTGTATTCATCCCCAAAGTGTATTAAAAGCAAAACCGCTAACATGCTTCATGAACCCATATCTTGCAGCTGCTAAGGCAAACACAGGAGGTTTGGATTGTGTATTCTAAACATATCCGGGACAGGCTGTGTGTCATATATAGCTCTGTCCTCCAACATTGGACAATGGCCTGGGGGTGGGGAGCAACAACCCGAGGGACTACCCCTGCTGCCCCCATCCTTCACTCAGCCTCACCCACGTCACCTCACCATAAACCTCCCAGCAGGTCATTTCTTGTGGATTTTGTGTCATAGATGGAATTAAGTTTTTGAGTCATATACAGATTATAATCTCTTTTCCTTTCTATTTTTCCATCACAGGAGCTGGAGAATCAGGGAAAAGCACCATTGTCAAGCAAATGAAGTATGTGTGTGCACAGGCAGCTATTCCTTGCCCACTACAATAACTCTTAAAGAGTGATAGTGAAACTGTACTAATAGGAATTCCTTAGCATACCCAATTGCATTCTCATCTGGAAGAGACTGGTAATGCAGAAGTGCAGACCGCCCCCCCTTCTTACAAGGCCACTTCACATACTATGTTTTTAGGTGCACACACGTGGTGTTTTAAGTGAACACCTAAAAGCACAGTGTTTGTACACAACAAACATGTTTGCACATACAAGTACATCCTTCAAGGCGCGGATTACTGCTCCCTGTAAAGCGTGTACTCGTTGCCAGCAGCTGGAGGGGAATGCAGTCAAACATGCTGGGAAAGAACTGCTGGCTGGCTTTCTGCATTGTTTTTATCTCCATGGTAGGTAATTTCCTCTAAGAGTTGGGAGAGGAAGAAGGGAAAATTAGCTGGTCACCTTCCTACCCGCAGCTTTCCCTAGACCTAGAGACATTTCCTCCACACACACTGTTCCAAAAGTTTCTTTCTGGCAAAATATTCTGAAGCCATTTCTAAAATCTTTGTTCTTCATGGTGGATTTGCTTGACTCCCGTCTAACCAGACAGTACTGCTAAACTTTTCATGGCCCTGGAGAGACCTAAGCTGGTAGAGGCCTGTCTGACACATGCAGCAGAATGAAAAATTATTATTGTTGTTGTTATTATTATTAACAACCCACCCTTCACTCTGAAGTCTCAGGGCAGGTTACAGCATTAAAACACTGCAGTATAGAGCCATGTGCTGGAATGGCTCCAATGCCAAGCTAAGTGTCTGTCATCTCTGGCCTCTAACCCCATTAGCTGGCCTCTCAGCAGTTCCCTCCCTGCCCAACATCCTTTAACACACTAGTCAAGACCTGCTGGATTGATTTTCTGCCCTTACCTTTCACAGAATTATCCATCAGGATGGTTATTCATTAGAGGAATGCTTGGAGTTCATCTCCATTATTTACAGCAATACTTTGCAGTCCATGTTGGCCATTGTGAGGGCCATGGGCACACTCAACATCCAGTATGGAGACTCAGCCAGGCAGGTGAGTCACTGAGGAGTGGACTTTCTCCCAATGGGAATAAAAAAAGGTAAAGGTAAAGGACCCCTGACAGTTAAGTCCGGTCATGAACTACTCTGGGGTTGCGGCGCTCATCTGGCTTTACTGGCCGAGGGAGCCAACCTTTGTCCGCAGTTTTTCCGGGTCATGTGGCCAGCATGACTAAGCTGCTCCTGGTGAAACCAGAGCAGTGCACGGAAATGCTGTTTACCTTCCTGCCAGAGTGGTACCTATTTATTTACTTGCACTTGGACGTGCTTTCGAACTGCTAGGTTGGCAGGAGCTGGGACTGAGCAACGGGAGCTCACCTCATCGCGGGGATTCAAACCGCCGACCTTACGATCGGCAAGCCCTAGGCTCAGTGGTTTAAACCACAGCGCCCAATGGGAATAGTCTTCTATTAATTAATCTATTTATTGTTATCATAATCAGAGGCTGATTTAAAGGGAAGGGCATTGGGGTGCTTTATTGCACTTAACTTTGCCTCCTTTCTCAACTGCAGGATGATTCCCGGAAGCTGCAGCACTTAGCAGACACCATTGAAGAAGGCTGCATGTCAAAGGAGATGTCTGACATTATCTGCCGGCTCTGGGAGGACACCGGCATCCAAGCCTGCTTTGAGAGGGCCTCAGAGTATCAGCTGAATGACTCGGCTGGCTAGTAGGAACCCATTGCTTACACCCCTTGAGGCAAAGGCCCCTTGAGGCAAAGTTACCACAGGAGTGCAATTCTATTTATTTCATTTATGAATCGCTTCCTATGAAGCATCTCAAAATGATTTCACAATGCAATAAAAACATCAGTAAAACAACTGCATGTACAAAAACAGTTAAAACAATACACACAGAGACAAAATTTAAAATCTAATGCATATAATGACTAAGGCTTTTTTAAAAAATCCTCTTAGAAGGCTTGTTGAAAGAGTAAATCATCTTCAACAGCCACTGAAAAAGCAGCAGAGATGGCAACGACTGGGTGCACCTGGAGTCACACATCTCTTCCCACTGAACTAACATAGTTGCATGTTTGGGAACTTTCTTAAGACATTTTTATTTGTGCATCTCTGACTGAGAATATGCCTGCTCCATAGGCAAGCCCAGCAAGCATAGAAATCTAGGGGAGAGAACGTCCTTATGCTCAGCCACTCTTGGGCAGCCTTCACCTGCTGCAACTGGCAAGGTGCTTCCCTAAGAAGCAGAAACTTGAAAGGTACCGGTAATTCAAGAAGGAAGGCTGAGATCAGGAAACTTCAGCTTTGCTGAATTTGAGCAGTACAGCAGCCACCTTCCTGCTGCTGATTCTTTAAGAACAATGTTATTTTTTTCTGATATAACCTGCTACTCACCTTGTCCAACACACATGACCACAGGAAACATAGGAAGCTGCCTTATACTTAGACCATGGATCCATTTGGCTCAGTATTGCCTAGACTTAGTGATGTCTACGCTGACTTGCAGAGACTCTTCAGGGCTTCAGGCAAGAGTCTCTTCCAGCCCTTCTTGGAGAGATGCCGGAGTTTGAGCCTGCCCCTGAGCCCTGGTCCTTCCCCATTGTGACTGCCCACTCTGAAGACCAGAGGTCTCTCAGGTCTAGTTCACATGGTAACCCCGGTACCTTTCTCTGTTCACAGTTACCTGCGTGACCTGCCACGACTAGTAGCCCCTGGATATGTCCCCACAGAGCAGGATGTTCTCCGCTCCAGGGTTAAGACCACGGGCATCATTGAAACCCAGTTTTCCTTCAAGGACCTCCACTTCAGGTATTGTATGACTGTGGCTGGTGGACAACCAATTTTGCAATAAGGAAGATTGCAAAAGAGGGTGGGTCATGCATCTGTGGAAGCAGTTGCCATGGAGTAACTGGTACAGCATTGTGATGAAAGGCAGGAGTTTTGACTCCCCCTCCCAATCCACCACTGGAACTCCCAATTCAGCCATGAACAGGCCAATTGGTTTTAGGCAAGCCACTCCCTCCTGACCTCCCCACTTCCACCTATAGTATAATAATATTGACCTGCTTTATAGCACTGTGGCAATGTACGGGATGGGCTTTGGGCAATTAGGAAAAGTCATTCCATAAGTACCAAGTATTATCATTATTAGTGCACTGTGGAGGGATGTAATTTAGTTAACCTCTTTTCCATTTTACATCATTCTGGGGACACTTTCAATCTTTCCTTTCTGTACGCCAAAGGTCGAAGGACAATAAATCAGTATAGCAATGGGGGCTGCCAACTATTTAAGAGAGCCAGTGAGGTGCAGCGGTTAGGCAGCCAGCTGGGGTGGGGGCGGGGATGGTCCCAGGTTAAAATCTCCACTCAGTTAAGAAGAATCTCACTGGGTGACCTTGGGCAAGTCTGTATTGTTCAGATGAAAGTACCCCAGAGGGTAGTTGGAAGGAGAAAATGCAAGTTGAAAACTCTGTTTCCTTTAATGGGAAAAGGGAGAGAAAGGTACATAATTTAAATATCTTGTACCTCTGTTATTCATGTAATGGATAATCCAGCACAACCCTACACAATGGTGTAGTTGGGTGATTTTAGATTTTGGGCTCGGTGGCCTTACCAGAGGGAGCGGAAGTTGTGTGTCTCTTTAGATGGTCCTGTGTATTACTTCACTCACTTCAAACTCTGGGAAGCCATCTCTGCTGTGCTTCTCCCCTCCCCATTCTCACTCAGTCCCAGAGATAATAAATGCTCACCCGTCCAATTTGACGGTCAGCTCTTCATTCACCTTGCTGTTAAGGACCACATTTTGGGGGCCCTATGGCTCACTGCAGACCTTTCCCCATCAATTTGCAGTAACACATTGGGGGACTGCTGGGGAAGGCTGTTCAGAAGGGGCCTGTCTTAACTTCCTGGCAGGATGTTTGACGTGGGCGGCCAGCGCTCAGAACGCAAGAAGTGGATCCACTGCTTTGAAGGAGTCACTTGCATCATCTTCATTGCTGCCCTCAGCGCCTATGACATGGTCCTGGTGGAGGACGATGATGTGGTAAGACTGTTTAGACTTTGGCTGCCAGGATTTGTAAACAGGCGTGGTGGATTAGTGGCAGAGGTAGTGTGCTGGAATGGTTACAGTGTCAGACTGGGGAGATCAGCGTTCAAATCGTCACTAAGCCATGAAGCTCACTGGGCAAGTCACTCTGCTTAACCTACCTCAAAGGGTTGTTGTGAGAATAAGATGTGTGAAGGGGACGGTGCCCTACAGCTGCCACGAGCTCATAGAAGGAAACATGGTGTATAAATAAGACATACCACATTTTCCCATGTTTAAGACAATGTTTTTTTATTATAATTAAATGTTAAGAATTGGGGGTTGTCTTATACACAGATAGTGCAGAGGGGGCAATTAGGGGCGGCCGTGAACAGGAGATTGTCAGCGGCGATAGGTAGGGTGATTGGTGGCTGTGGTGAGGCCTGTTGGCGATTGGCTGCTGCCCCAGCAATTGGGCGGGCGATTGGCGGCTCCTGGCGGCCAGATGATCGGTGGCTTTGGCAAGGCATGCGATTGGCAGCAACGGTCCAGTGTGCGAGCGACCCCCCCCTCAAATAGCTCAACAACTCTAGGCAATCCCCCCCCCAAAAAAGCTGAACAACTCTTGGCAATTTCCCTCCACTTGGGGTCCCAAAAAATAGAAAAATGTGGTAAGTAGTGCCAAGACTGAACTGGCTGTGACATATCATGGTGAAATGACCTAAAGGGGATTAGGACAGTGCTACAGAATGCACCTTCTGTACATTTAGGGGACACTTTTTGCCTACTGAAAGGCAGAGGAGCAAAGCTTCTGATAAAATCTGGTTTAGGACTATGGTTGAAACTGAAGGTCTTTCTAATCCTGCCTTCCCTTCCAGAATCGCATGCATGAGAGCCTGCACCTCTTCAACAGTATCTGCAACCACCGCTACTTTGCCACCACCTCCATTGTTCTTTTCCTCAACAAGAAAGACGTTTTCCAGGAAAAGATCAAGAAGGCACACCTCAGCATCTGCTTTCCAGATTACGATGGTGAGTTCCCAGCGTGCAACATCCACATTGGTGTGGCTGCAGCATCTTCTAGCAGGGGTGGGGCACTGATAGCCCCCCAGATTCTGTTGGATTCCAACTCCCATCAACCCTAGCTAGCATGGCCAGTGTTGGAGGGTTATGGGTGTTGCAGTCTAGCTCTTGGATAGCTCAGTTGGTTAGAGAGTGGTGCTGATAACACCAAGGTTGCTGGTTCGATCCCCATATGGGACAGCTGCATATTCCTGCATTGCAGGGGGTTGGACTAGATGATCCTCAGGGTCCCTTTCAACTCTACGATTCTATGAGCATCTGGAGGGCCACAGGTGTCCCATCCCTTGTCTCCTAGTGAGCAGAAATGCCGGAATTTGCATGGTAGATGCAGGAAGAGAGTTTTCTCTTTTTTAATTCTGAAAAAGGTTTCAGAAGCTGAACACCAGCAAGGATGACTAGTTTCAGACTGGTCTGGTATTTTTATCAAATAAGCAAGAAATGGAAAACTGCATACATTTAGATGAAGTAAGGAGGAAATAAATGAGCAAGGGCTGTACCATCATCCCACCCGCCTTTCCCAGAAAGATGGTGGTACTAGATGAGGACTATAACATCACAATAAAGCAAGTTTTAATTTCTTTATCTCCACAAAGGCTCCCTCATATCAACCTATAGGGTCACATAATGCATTTGGTACAACTGGCACCATACAAAGATGTCCCAAGGAGCACATTATTTTTGCAGCTGGCCTAACCATGTTAGAATTCATGAGTTCAGCCATGCTGACTTTCTGAATGACACCCACTTCTATTATTTCATGGAGCTGTTAACAACACTCCTCTATTTTCTTGGGTGGGTGCTGCATTAATCATGTGACTGGGGAGGGCCTCACGCGGGAATGGGAAGACTTGGCCCTTTGTGCCCCCGATGGAGAGCTTGGCGCTGTCGTAAACTTTTATCACAGGGAGAAAATAGATGTGAGTATTTCATTTGCTCCCTTGGAGCAAAAGGAACAAGTTACTTTCTGTAATCTATGGATATTATCTTGCAGGGAGAGAAGGTGGGTGTTCCTTTTGTGGAAAAACCCAAAAACAAACATGTTTTGGAAAAGAGGCCACTAGGGGGCCTCGGTGCTCTATGAAACACGACACTCCTCTGCCACGTAAACCAGAACCGGCATCTCCAGTGGTCTTCCAAGGGCTGTGTGACAGACAGAACTTTTTTTTTTTAAGTTTTCACACTTCTGTCTTGCCTATTATTCCTCATTTTAGTCTTTAAAATTGCTTTCCTCCAGCTCCTACCAAATGCAGGCACTTCAAATGTGGTGTGCTTGGTGTGGTCATGGTTAAAAAGCTGAATGAATGCAACCCCCCCCCTTTTTTTAAGGAGCCATTGGATGGTGCAAATGGAGAGGGAGGGTGGCTTAACCAATCCCCCTTTGGCCATTTTCTTGCTCAAAATTGTCCCCAACTGCCTTTTCACCCACAGTGGAAAAGTCTAGTGTCGGGACTGATGCCCAAACTAGGAGCAATGAGGGTATCTCTTTACCTTGGGTTCTGGCCCAAATCCTGTCTCAAGCAGGGGACACTGGCCTAGCCTTTAGGAGGGAAGCATGGGTCTAGGCTAACCCTGCCCCACTTACCTCCCCGACAGATGCTTTTCTCCTCAGCTACTGCAGTGAGTAGCAGCAGTGAGTTCAGCTGGAAGAGAAGTACTGGGTGGTTAGAGGGAAGGTTTTGCTCCCCTTATCTGCACACTACTTCTGCTTTCAATACTGGCCCCTCAGCTCCCTACTTGGTATATGTGATTGGAACAGACAAAGAGACCTGATGTCACATCCAGTTTTACCCTTCGCGTGAAATTTGTATTATTTTAGGCCCAAATATGACACAATAGTCGTTCCAATAAGAAAAATATCTGGAAAACCCTGGGGTTATCAAAATATCAAACTTTTTAATAAAAAAGCATGATTATTTGAATCCAAGAAAGTTCTAATGTACAATTTGAAAGCCTAGAGAACCCTGGAAAGTAGCACAAACTTAGCAGTCCCCACACCCCTTTCACCAAATGAGCAAGTTTTTAGGAAGAAGCTCTCTTACAAATGTCAGATGAGGTTTATATGAACGACGAGGGCCCCTAATATATGCAGAACCAGAAATTACCCGGGGAATTACAGAACATTGAAAGGGGTGTTCTCTGAGCAACAGAAATGTAAGGTACAGAGCACTTCCCACAGAGGAACTTTTGCTATAATTATTGCTATCATGTCTAACAAAGTGATTAAGCTGCAGCAGCTGCCGTGCTCTGGGGACAAATTCTTCACAGCCTGAAGTCCAGAAGGTGTCAGGTTTAGCGTCGTGGACAGGGGGCACGTCATAGTTATGTCCAATCTCGACCTGCCCCAGGAGGCATATATCACGATAAATAATTAGAGCCCTGCCTCATTTGTGGATGGAGGATGATTCCAAGGCAGGAGGTATCGTGTGGAAATGTGTAGAGGCAGATTTTAAAAAACCAATTCCTAAGTGAAGCTGCTCTCTGATACCATCCCAGCATCCGTGTCTATACAGGGTCCAATACCTACGAGGATGCTGGTGCCTACATCAAGGTGCAGTTCCTGGAGCTGAACATAAGGAAGGATGTGAAGGAAATCTACTCACACATGACCTGTGCCACAGACACCCAGAATGTCAAGTTTGTCTTTGATGCTGTCACTGACATAATCATCAAAGAAAATCTGAAGGATTGTGGCCTTTTCTGAGTGCAGGTGGGTTTTTCTCCCTGGTTGGTCAACTCTATGCAGTGGGTAAGCCAAGACCCCAACTTTCCTAGTGCAAATGGTCAGGCGGATTCTGTTGTATTATTTGATTGTGCAATCAGAAGTAAAGCAGCCTTCTGCAGCAGAGCAAGGCAGACTCTTGGTGTCACCACTGAACCATTTGGGGCGGGGGAGGCCTGTATCTCAATACTGGAGGATAAATACTTTGCACACAGAAGATCAAAGATCACAGTTCAGTGTCTGACATCTCCAGTTTGGTAGTAGGTGATGTGAAACCATGCTGGTCTGAGGCCCTGAAGAACTGCTCCCAGGGAGAGCAAATGAGTTTTAGACAAGCAACTTGGCATGGTCCCTTAACAACAACAGAGGGCAAGGCCCAAGCTCTGCTTGTGGGCATCTGTGAGGAGTTGTGTTAGCCAATATGCAGAGCAGGATGTTGGACTAGATAGCTTTGCTGGCTCAGAGCAAGGATCTATTCGGTTGCTAGGATAGGGTAGGCCAAAGTGGCTTTCAAGGAAAACCAGTTGCTAAGTGGGATCTTTCTTCCTCACTTTGTACACCTTTTCTCTCTCTAGGTATTCCTGGCCCTTCTGGTGAAATGCAGCATTGCAAATTCAGCAGTGTGAAAGGGAAGCTTTCCCCTCACCTGAGCTTATGCACTCATTCTCATTCGTTCTTGCATGCTCGCTGGCTATAGTGATCCACATATGGGGAAAGGAGTTTCTCCCTCATCTGAGCTAAGCCAGACAAAAGATTCTCCATCCCGTCATGGGCGTTTAATTGACCCTCTGGAGTTGGAACTCTGAGATTACTAGGCAGCTTTCAAATTACACCCCAGGAGTGTTGACCGCTACCTCCTCCTTGACACCCAGGAAAAGCAGGCAAGAGCTTCATTCTGGTAACTCACTTTCTACCTAAGCCACCGCTGTGGTGTGGAAGTTGTTAAGCTTGTATGGAGTTTCCTCCCATACTGGGCTTGTTTGTGGAGTCCTGACAGTTTAGGAAACCTTTTTCTTTCTGTCCTCTTTGATTTCTGCTCTTGTAAATAGTGGGCACTTGCTAGGCTTCTTATAGGTGTACTAGGGCACGAACACACCTGTGCACACAGGGTGCTGCAGTAGCACGAGTAGATGGAGAGAAATTCGAGCCTTTACACAAGGTGCAAAAGCTTGAAAACCAAACTCTTGGCCAAGGCACAAGTCAAAATCCTAGAGCTATCCTTAATACAAGATTTCAGTTTTAATTTTTGCTTAAATGGCATTTTCTCAGCATGGTTCTCTAGTGAAGCCTTTTCTTTGTTTCACCGGGGGGGGGGGGGGCTCTGTAATTATCTGTAGCAGCACCAACAGTATGTGCCCAAACACACTGACCTCACAATATCACAAATAGCTGGTTTTATCAATAAAGTAATAAGTACAAAAGTACAATTTTTTCTTTATACTTTATCTCTTTCGTTTCTAGGACTTAGAATCATTTATCTATTACTCTTTCTTTAGCTTGGAGTGATCTGTATTTCTGATCAGTGTGTTCACTTGGACACTGAACATTTACAGGTCAACATAGATTTATATAACACACTGAACAAAACCTGAGAGAGTAGGCATATTGACTGCACAATGGACACAATTCCTTTTTCATCTTTCTATTATGTGCACGTTTTCCACATCTGAATATGCACAACAGCTGCTTTCCCTGCACATTTGGTCTATGTGCACATTCCCTGCCCCAACCCCAGCACCACCAAAAAAAAAAAAAGGATAGTTCCTCATGGTATTTCCAAGCAGAGGTCTCTAATGGGAACCTTGAGAGATGGCTTTCACGGAGTTGCTCAAGTTAGGAAAGGTTGTTCTTTGCTGTCTATGATATGTCTCTGGCTTCCTCCCAGCCAAGTGAGGAAGCCAGTGGTGTAGTCCACACCATGCAGCAAATGGTTACATACATCCACCACCAGAAAGCCCCTAATCAGTTGTGGGGGCGGGGGATGGCAGGTAGACACTGCTAGAAAGGCGAGGTGCCCATGTGTTATCTTAAGACTTTGCTCATTCACGCTTGTTCTGGGAAGTGTGATTTCTAAGGGTTGTGGCTGATCATAAACTTAAACAAAGCCATGTGCCTGAGTTTTATCTAAACTAAACCACTTGCAAACCTTGAAGTGCAGATGATGCCAGACTGATGGAACGCCTTTCAGAGCCATGTGCGAAGCCAGCTCTTTGGTGCCGTGTTGTGTTTTCGTGGCCCTGGTGTAAAGCAAAATGGTCTGGCGAAATCCATTTGGCAATGCAAAAGTCCTCCCTGGTGCATGCAAGAGAAGCAATGCAGAGTAAACAGGGCTTTCTTTCTACTTTTTATTATTTCAAACCGTGTGAACAATTTGGTAAAACATTGTGATAAAAGCTAGGCTGCGTCTTGACGGTTACTAATGGCCCCGGTGCCCATCGACTGCCCGGCAGGCAGGACCGCTTAACATACAGCAGTGTTTCCTCAACTGGTACTACAGTTAGAGCTAAGAAAATACATTAAAATAGACCTGACATTACAGCAACCTCAGGCCCTGGGGTGGGGCACAAAGGAATGGAAAGAAGTCCTTAGTGGAATCTTAGCCCTTAGGAACCTAATTCTGTGGCCAGGAAGAAAAGGTGTTTTAAACCCTTGGGCGCTGCCCCCTCATAAAAAGCTTGGCCTGGACCACAGCAGAAAGGGAGAAAAGGGCTGGGGGGAAGAGAAAGGGGGAGTCCATTTTATGCTAATCTAAAACACAATGCACATTGAAGCAAACTAAGAAACAGATGTAAACATACAGACACCCTCAAGGCACAAAATTTACTAGAGAAGATGAGCTCATGTTGGGCAACTCAACTGTTTACTACATGACATTTTAAATAAGGGTTTCTTTTTTTAAAAAAAGGTTTTCTTAAAAAAAAAAATAGGTCAACTTTTCCTGCACAAGTTGGCTTCTGGAGGAATGGTTTTTTTTTTCCGTTTTCTTGCCAGTCTGTGCAAATCATGGAGGTTGGAGCTGAGAAGCTTGCTCCATGGCAAGAGCTCCACCTGTTGGAAGGTGAAAAACAAATGGACAGTGGTTTGCTTTGGCAGAGCCAGACAGAGGTTTGCTTGGACCATTTGCCTAAAAAAAAAAAAAGGAAAGGAAAGGAAAAATCATTAAAAACATGTCCAAAGCCCCTTGACTGGTTACCTTCTGCACTTCAGCTTTAAAAAATAAAAATAAAAATGGACATACATGGAAATGTTACAGCTATGGCAGGCCACCAATCATTGGTGCTTCAGTAAGGCTTTGTGGGCACAGGGATAGGATACAAGCAGCCTGCAAGAGGCACCCGGGACAGCACAGAGCAGGGGAAGCAATGGAAACTGTCCCTCGGACAGGCAGAAACTCCAAAGTCTCATCATTAGGGAAATGAAAAGGAATGGAACAAAAATGTAAGAAGCAGAAGTCATTAAATGGTGCAGTCCTCCCTTCATCAAAACCAGCCTCTTCCTCATATGGAGCAGTTCAAGTAATCCTGCAAAAGGAGAGAGCACAGAAAAGTGAATCAGCTCAAGCTGGCAGAAGAGTGCATTGGCAGGACCCCTGGAGCTGCTTTTGGAGCCTGCTGCCTTTGATTTTCTGCACATCTGTCAGAACGGAAGTCAATTATCTGAAGGAGGTGGACAGATAAAGACAAACATTGCTCACTTCAGTGGCCATGATGGACCCAAGCAACATTCAGCTTGCACCACATGTGCAACCATTGATTCAGTACCTCCCCAGTCTGTGAGCTAAATGTTTGTAATATACCCAGAAAAAGAAGGCTTCATCCATCATTTCTTAAACACATAAGAAGACCCTGCTGGACCAGGCCACTTATTATTCATTAATTTGTATATTGCCAATCATCAGAGGATCACAGGGCGGTTTACAATATAAAAACACAATAACAAAAAGAATACTCCAAAGTATTCTTGGGAGCCTGGGAGCTAATCTCTGATGGACCATCTTCCTGAGCCTGGAATTATGTCAAGGGGCCCAGACGCATTTCAAGATTGGTTCAGAGCAGTTTAACAAGTTGATGCCCATCCGATTTTGAAGAGCTTAATCTCCACTGGGACTGAAGGGAGCCCACATGAAAACAAGCTAGCATTTCTCTCCTCCAGCAAGCCAAGCCCTCCAGCTCCCATCAGCTCAAGTTCACAGGGCATCAGTGACTCTGCTTCATCTTTCTGCAATGGCAAAACCACTCCTCTGCTCCTTAGCCCTGCCAGCCCATCCACCTTTGGCATCTCAAACAGTCGCTTCTGCTACTACCTTTGAGACACAGCCACACACAATGGTGTATTAAGATGTACAGAGATGTCACAGAATTGACAGCCATGTCTTGCTCACACATTTATTTCCTGAGAAGAAACAGAAGTGCATGCCCTTTCAGGCACATGGATGAGTGTGTGCAATGCCTCACCTTCCTGTGTTCCTCAGTAGATGCCGCCTGGAGAGCTAGAAGAGCCCACAGTCCTTCAGGTTATTTTTGATGATGACATCAGTGACAGCATCGAAGACAAACTGCACGTTCTTGGTATCAGTGGCACAGGTGAAGTGGGTGTAGATCTCCTTGGTGTCCTTCCTCTTGTTCAGGTCCTCAAACTTGCTCTGGATGTAGCCAGCAGCTTCATCATACTTGTTGGCCCCTAAGGAAGAGGAGGAGGGAAAGAGAATGAGAAAGACATCCACAGAATGATATCAGGACAGGACTAGGTGCACAAACTCAATGACACCCATGGAATCAGACACTGGTAGTTCAGAAAAGCAATGCATTAACTCCTGCTCTAGTCCTTAAAGAGGCCAACATATGCTGCTAACAATACTGGGAACAATCATGATACCTACAGCTTGAGCTTATTTTAATCCATGTGCAGTTTATAGTAGAAATGTGGTATGGCAGAGTTGAAGACTCTGGCCTGGAAAAAGCTCCGATTTCCTCATCTGCCTAGTACTGAGTAGTAGCTGGATGAATTTACAGCAAAACTGACTAAATAAATTCAAAGGGAAATACACTGACTGACCAGCTCCTCCTCATGAAACTCAAGAGCCACACAGCTTAGTCATAGCAGGAAGCTGCAATGCTGACACAAGCAATTGCAATAGAGCGGTGCATTTTTCGGGGGGGGGGGGTGTTCAAGTCACTTTGCAAAATGATCAGTTTCACACTTTCCAAAGCAATATGAGAACTGAAACACAGCCATCCTTTTAAATTCACACTTATCTGAATTTTGTGGTGCAGTTCTCAAACCATAGTTGACAAAAATGCAAAAAAATATGCATTAGGATGAATTTGTGAGGACGACAACAACAACAGACAGAAGCCAGGGTGGCTATCTAAAGAACTTTTAACTGAGTTAAGATTAAAAAAGGATGTGTACAAAAAATGGAAAAGGGGGGAAACCACCAAAGAGGAAACAAATAGCCAGCACGTGTAGACACAAAGTCAGAAAAGCTAAAGCACAGAATGAACTCAGGCTTGCTAGAGAGGTTAAAAGCAACAAAAAAGGCTTTTATGGGTATGTTCGTAGCAAAAGGAAGAACAAAGAAACAGTGGGGTCACTCAAAGGAGAAGATGGTGAAATGCAAACAGGGGACACAGAAAGGGCTGAACTCCTCAATGCCTTCTTTGCTTCAGTCTTCTCCGATAAAGAAAACAATGCCCGACCTGAAGAATTTGGAGCAAATGATTCAGCAGAGGAAACACAGCCCAGAATAACTAAGGAGATAGTACAAGAATACTTGGCTAGTTTAGATGTATTCAAGTCTCCAGGGCCAGATGAACTGCATCCAAGAGTATTAAAAGAACTGGCAGATGTGATCTCAGAACCACTGGCAGTCATATTTGAGAATTCCTGGAGAACAGGCGAAGTCCCGGCAGACTGGAGGAGGGCAATTGTTGTCCCTATTTTCAAAAAGGGGAAAAGAGAGGACCCAAATAATTACCACCCAGTCAGTCTGACATCAATACCAGGGAAGATTCTGGAGCAGATCATTAAGCAAACAGTCTGTGAGCACCTAGAAAGGAATGCTGTGATCACCAATAGTCAGCATGGATTTCTGAAAAATAAGTCATGTCAGACTAACCTGATCTCGTTTTTTGACAGAATTACAAGCCTGGTAGATGAAGGGAATGCAGTGGATGTAGCCTACCTTGTTTTCAACAAGGCATTTGACAAGGTGCCCCATGATATTCTTGTAAAGAAGCTGGTAAAATGCGGTCTTGACTATGCTACCACTCAGGGATTTGTAACTGGCTGACTGACCGAACCCAAAGGGTGCTCATCAATGGTTCCTCTTCATCCTAGAGAAGAGTGACTAGTGGGGTGCCACAGGGTTCTGTCTTGGGCCCGGTCTTATT